TATATTAATTAACTCGAACTTACATATGGAGAAAGAGGCGCGAAAAAATATAGGTCAAAAAGTCGCTGAAGCGGGAATCGAACCCGCGTCTTTCACTTTCCGGGCGACTGCTCTTACCCACTAATAGCTATTTAGACTTTTCGGACCTATATTTTTCGCCGCCTATTTCTCCATATGTAAGTTCGAGGTAATTAATATGAAACTTTAGTAATCTCGTACCAAGATATACAGTTCCGAATAATAATTTCGTAATTTTTCGTGCTATATGGCTTTTAGGTCGAGTAGAAACCATCATATTTATATTGTTATATTGAGAGCCGATAAAAATATTTATTTCTGAGTTTATTCACGCCTGCCTAATCACGGCGTATTTACTAACATCTACTAAAAAGGCAAATGAAAAATATAGGATCGAAAGAGTCTGAATAGCGTAGTGGTAAGAGTAGTCGCCCGGAAAGTGAAAGACGCGGGTTCGATTCCCGCTTCAGCGACTTTTCGGACCTATATTTTTCGCGCCTATTTCTCCATATGTAAGTCAAGGTTAATTAATATATGGAACTTTAGTAATCTCGTACAAGAGATACAGTTCCGAATAATAATTTTCGTATTTTTCGTGCTATGGCTCTTAGGCCGATTTAGAAACCATCATATTTATATTAAATATGAATTATTATTTGAATAAATATAATAAAATTTTAAATAGGTGAAGGTTCTGACATATGACGTGTGCACATAACATTTTTAGACAGTGATGACGGTAGGATTGAAATGTTGCTGAATGTAGACTTCTCAGATTTTTCCAAACTTACTGGGGACGAAGTAGCTTGATAGCTAGGAATGACTGTAACAGAATTGCATCTTTATACAAAGCACTTTTTTTAAACAGATTACTTTAAATTATATTCTTGATAAAAGTGCATTTTTAAGTTAATTGGATTGTAAATATAAATTAACAGACTTCATAATTTATTGTATTACTTACCTTGCATTACTTTTAGTTTTGTAGGATCTATTCCCAGGGAGAAACAAGAAATCGGATCGACGTCGATTAGACGTAAATAACGTCTATAACTTTTTCAGTTCAAATTAGACGTCGACTAGACGTCGATATTATTTGCTAAAACAATCAGGCCAGACATCAATAAACATTTCATTTAATCCATAATAAAATACTTTTCATGTAAAAAAACATATATTAAAATTTATATATAAAATATATATGTGATCCATATATATATATATATATATTTTTTTTATTTGTGTTGTATAATTTCTCTTTGTGTGTGTAATATATTAATTAATTATAAAAATAAAGGTAAATTAATTATTATATATATATTATATATATATATTTACTAATTATGTATGAGGAAACTTTATATGAAAATATAACTTTAATTATTTAAATGATTGGTTCGATAACGCTTATTTTGATTTAACTGTCGTATAAAAGATAAGTTGCGAGTTGCGACACCGCCTTGCGACTAAATATGGTACCAACTTAACGCAACGAGTTAACGAACTCATTCTGTTATTGTTCCGTGATCGATGATCATTCGTTGAAGTTCGTTGAATGTTGAACTGTGCTTGTGATAATATTTGTTCTTCTGGAGGCCTATTCTGTAACTTTTAACAAATGCGTTATAACTGTAACGCATGCGTTAGTCGTCGTATCGTCGACGAATTCATGGTTAACAAATGAATTATAGTTATAACGCATGCGTTAAAAGTTACAGAATAAGTCTGCTGGATCGATTGCTATTCTAATAAAGAAGTCATCACCAACAAAAATGAGTGAAAGTCCACCGGTAAGTGCTTCATAATTTATAATTTCTTAATAATCTACTTTTTACTTTTGTGCCTCAAGTCGTCTGTAGGTTATAATTGTTTCATAAATAAATTACAATTTTCATATAAATAGTTCATAATTTATATATATATTAATAAATTATTTTGATTTATTTAATTAAAAATATTGTATGCTCTTATATATACACTTTCTTTAACTCACTCTTTAACTAACCTCAACATATACGGAATTATTAATAATAATATTGTCACTATTGCTTCTTTTTTGCTATTATTTATTTAAAGTTTATTATCAAAATTTATTACATAACATTATTGTGAATGCAGTATAAGCAATATATTTTAGTACTGATGTTGTTCTTGTATTATTTTACATCTATCATAGGAAAGTAGGAATCGTCGTAGAAATACGAACAAGCAAATAATTAATGAATTAGTTAGGCAATGTAGGAATCAAAGAAAATTGGACGATTTAAGAAATCGAATTACTACTGTCTACAAGACAGAGGCTTCATCCGATGAAGAGGTTTCATCCGATGAAGAGGTTTCATCCAATGAAAAGGTTTCATCCGATGAAGAGAATAATGAAATGCTGCCCATTCCAGGGATTGAAGATATTTCTTTATTAGAAACAAATTCTGAAGTATCAACAGAATCTGATGCATCTATCGATCAACTTGAAAATGAAAATATGGATGATAACAATAATTATAATAATGACAATGACAGTGAATTACATTTTGAAGATGAGAATAATGACAGCGAAGGAAGTGTTGAAATTAATGATGCTAACAGATATAGTAACGATGAAGAAAATGATGATTTAATGATTGAATTTGAAAATGACGAACAGAGAGGACGCTATGTTTTAAAAACATTGAGGGAGTGGGCTCTTGAAGGAGGTGTGTTATCTATGAAGAAGTTAAATGATTTACTTCGTAGATTGAGAGTATTGTTTCACATCTTACCTAAAAGCTACAAAACCGTTAGGTGATAATGAAAAAATTGTAGCATCAAAACTTATGACCAAATTGATGACTAATTCCTTAGCGAAACAATTCAACTTTGATGGTCATAATCCTCAAAAGGCTAAAGTTAATAAAAGGCCATTTAAGAAACTGAAACTATGGGAATTATTTCAAGGTATTTTATCTTCTTTTCAATATTTTGTTTCATCTTAAGTTTATTGTAGAAAAAATTCATAAATATTTCTTTTTTTTCTAGGAGTTATGCTATTAAAATTCCTACCAGTGATTTGGAAGATGCCTTAAATGCAGTCAGAAATTGGCTACGAAACGCTGCTGGGCGTAAGCAATAAAATGTGCAATTTCATTTTTTTTATTTTAACAGAATCTAATGTATAAGAAAAGCAGAGGTAAAAAGTGCTCGCATACGAGAATATTGCGTGTGTGTGATCTTATTATTCTTAGACGACTCTTTACAAGGTCTTTTTCTCGATACAAATTAGCACGGGGGAGGTTTCCCATTAAAAGGGAAGAGGTCATTTAATATTCGTCATAAAATGCAATTAATTATTTTTTTTCTTGAATGTGAAATATGATCTCTATTCATGTGCAATTTGCGAAGTCTTATGTCATTTTTATTTTGTTATTGTATTTTGATATTGCTGCTTTATTTTGAATATTATTTGTCTTATTTTTTATTTATGTAACTGATAAGACATTGTCAGGTTTAAATTTGATTTGAATTATTACATATAAAAGTTTTTAGTTGAAGTATGTATATGTAGAATATATATGTACACTAATAAAGAATGTATATATATATACATATATAAAATATATATATTTATAATATATATATATCAAGACACGATAAGATGGCATATACTGGAGTTTTCAGTATGTCAACAAAGATTATCCTGTATTGAAATTGTCCAATACATATTAATAAAAAATAGATATAAGGTTAATAATACATATAAATTATTTTCTAAAGTGTCTTTTCCATCCTTTCAGTTTCAATTATATAAATATATGTATAACAATCTAAATACCAAGATCCAAATAATTTTAGTGTTGGTTCTATTTTTTTCATTCGTAAATTAAAAAGGTAATGTAAATTTTCTAAAGAAAAATATATTTGCATGCATCCATATTACAATTCAATGAATATTTACTGAGCAATTTGTTTTGATTAGAATATTACATTATTCTATATTTTACAATAAAAATATACTTAGAATTAAAATAAAATGTTCACTGAATGGTGTACGTAATACTGCACTTATTGCCTGCGTTCGCAGCAGAGAAAGTAGAAGTGTCTGTTGTAAAATTATTGAATTTGAGTATTGTATGAGCTTAGGTTTAGTCAAAACTAAAAGCATACGCCAATTATACGCCATTATTAGATTCATCAATTTTACAACATTTGCAACGCTACTTTTTCTGCTGAATACAGCCGTTACATCAATTATTTAGATGTCTATTAGACATTTTATAGACGTTTATATTAACGTCTAGATGGTGTCGAAATTCAAAGATTTGTCCGTCTATATAGACGTCAAATTAGATCTTACTTAGACGCATATAAAAGACATCGATTCGACGTCTTTTCAACATGCCATTTCTCCCTGGGTTTGGAGGAGTTATTCTCCACCTTCTTTGTTCTGAACTTTTATAACATACCTCATAATTGAAATAATTTTCAGGCAACGTTCCAAGTTCAATTGGCTTAACAATGGAGAAGACTACATTCGTTTACGCAGTAGTCCGCAGTACTGCGAGCAAGGCATCCTAAGCAGGACCTCCGAGATGGCTGCGCAGATAGGCAGCAGCTCTGCTTAAACGAACAACAAACTGCGCTGCAGTCGGTTGCGCAGGTGGAGTAAACGAACGACATTTGCGGCATTCTGCGGCAGTCACTGCATAAACGAATGCACCCATTAAGTCTAATATATTTCTATTTCGGGAATAATTAAGATATTAGGACTTCTTGGAGAAAAATATCTATATGTATATACATATGATCACATGTATAAAACTATACAAATATATATAGAATTATATATGAATATGTGATGTTTATATATATATATATATATATATATATATATATATATATATGTTTTCATTTGCCTCTTATATTGTATAATCTATATATGTTCTTATAAACAGGAAAAAGAATAATTAAAAAAAATATTAAAAAGATATAATTTATAGAAATAAGAAAAATTTGTTATATATATGTATAATATATGTAGACAATCTTTTCTAATTTCTTCAAATCTAACTTAAAAAAAGTGCAAATATTATTTTTTAAATTATTTTTATTCTTATTATTTTTCCTAAATGTACAGATATTATAAAAAAGAAAACTATATATATATATATGAATTTATATGAATTTTCTCATGAATTCTTATATTTTTTAATTAAATTATTGTAGAAAAAATATAATTCTCATTTTTTTAGAAAACACAAAACTAAACACACAATTGATTATGCAAAAATGTTCGGTTATTTTTTATCTTATTTTCATTTCATATGTATATTATGTACTAAAGACAAGCTATATATATTCTTCTAAACACAAAAATATTTAATAAAATAGCACGTCTTTAAAAGAAAGCTTAAAGACGTCTTGACTTTTTGCTGGGATACACACATTTACATAAAAAAGATACATTAACTCAATATTAAAATTCCAGTTTTATTTATTCAATTAAAATATCACTTTAGCAGCATAATCTGTACTTTATATTACGCATTTAAATGCTATAAAATTCTGAAATAATATTTCGAAATAAAAATTCTGTTGCAATTCAGTTTTTCTCATATTATTTAATTATGCAGGAGGAGACGAGAAAGAGTGGGAGAACAAATCGCAGACGGGCGGGACGATCGAGAGCAATCGCGGGCGGAGAATGTAAGAAGTGCGCTAAGCACAGTATACACCTGAGCTCGCCTTTTAAAGGTGTTGCAGAGCGTGGTGGAAAAACCGTACGATGAATGCGCCTTTCGCTCATGAGTTGGAGCAGCAACCGTTCCAGTGATTCCAACGGTGTGAGCGGAGACAGGAGCGGAGACGAGAGCTGAGAAGATCCAAGACTTTGTGACGATTTTGCATCTCTGAGATTTGACTCATCTGATCGAATCAGCTCGTCTGAGAGGAGAACGCGCGATGCGCGACGCTGCTGGTCCGCGCGAACGACGCTGGAATCGTCGTCGCGAGTCGCGAGTGCTCTTCGAACAAGTGTGTACATACGAGCAATTTGAGAAGGAAGGAAAAGAGAGAATAAGCATGAGATATGAACCAGAGGCTGTGAATAATACTCTCGTGTAAAACCGAGCGATCATCGATATGTCATCGCGAGGATCCAGATTCGACCAGCGTGTTTCCACGAGAAGAGGAATCATCCGCGGATAAGGATCGATAGAATAAGGAAGATAATCTCTCTCCAAAAAGCGAATGACAAGGTACAGCAACCGGTCTCTTCTCGAAGAGCTGGTACAAATACATCGGAATGGAATCTTGGTATTCGCGCTTGATCAACGATCAGTGATCAGCGATCAGCGATCTGATGTTACACAAAACTATACGCACGAAGAGCTTGGCGCGATATTTTTTCATTAATGGTTTTTTTCTCGGGGATCTCTCAGCATTAAGGAAAGAAATATTGCGCGCACAGGTGCATTGGATTGTGGCGCCTGCGCGCTTCGTTATGTGTAGAGAATATAAGTTTATATTTAAAAGCGACACATGAGATTATAACGCGCAAAGAGCAGGAATTTAATAACCGGTTAGTTGAGAAGAATAAATACATTTAGCATTTCAGACTACAATCTATTAAGTATTAAAATCATCCACTGCGAATTTTTTTATATGAAACACAAGCAAATTAAAGAGAATTAATAGGGATTAATTTCTTTATCAATCGTCTTGCTTTAGGAAAGAAACTAAAAAGAATATTAATAATGCTTAAACATATTTAGTAAAAAAAAAAAAAAATATTAAAATTAATTTTTGATTTGGAAAATTTCGGAGAACTAAATTTCTTGCAATTCATATATCTATTTTTATAGAGCTCAAAGCATTTCTTTATAAAATATTAGATATTAAATTCGTATAAAAAATCTGTATTAAATTCGATTATATATTGTATCGTAACATGTTACAATTATAAATCAATTTTTGTAGTTACTTTTTAAAAATGAGATTATGATTTTTTTTTATGATAAAAAGAATGATTTTATAAATGTGTGCACTTAATTAATAAGGATGTAATTAAAAATATGATAATTTATTGCGAAAAACGATTGATAAAGTATTACCTTGAAAGAGTCGCGAAGAATAATCGGAGGCGAAGGGTATTGCCGCGCGCATTGTCGATCGAAGATGTTGCACAAATGTCCTTGCAAATGACATCATCGTACTAAATAAAGGATTTGCCCAACAAGGTGTATGCGTTGCTAGCACTGCCTACGATTGAGAGACAATCCAATGATAAAGCAATGTTTATAATCAATATATGCGCGGGCAGTATACTTAAAGGAATATATGCCACACCTAATAAATCTGTATTCATTAATTGTGTAGAAAGAATTATAATATACTGGCATTTTTAAAAAAGATGTTGAAATCAAATATTGCTAAATGAACGAAATTATAAAAATGAAGATATATAAAAATTAAGAAATTATTATAACGACCCAACTAGCTTCAATTCTTTATTAATCAACACTTTATAAAAATATAATCAGACTACGTTTCGACCTTTGGTTTAGGTCCTTTTCAAGTCTCAAAATTTAAAAACTAAAACTTTCACATAATAATTCTTGTGTACAAAGAAAGTCAACTGAACTTTCCGTAAGAGTGGTAAGGAACGAACTAAGTTGTTCCTTACCACTCTTATGGAAAGTTCAGTTGACTTTCTTTGTACACAAAGAATTATTATGTGAAAGTTTTAGTTTTTTAAATTTTGAGACTTGAAAAGGACTTAAACCAAAGGTCGAAACGTAGTCTGATTATATTTTATGAAGTGTTGATTAATAAAGAAGATTAAAGCCAGTTGAGTCGTTATAATAATTTCTTAATTTATTCTTCACTAGCGACACATAAAACTCTGATATATAAAAATTCTTTTGAAATTATAATTTGAATATAACTTTGATTTCTTTTGCAGTAACATTATAAAGTATTTTGTTGTAGATTGATGCAGCATAAATGACGCGTATGAATCAATCTTTTTTAAAATGCAATATACATATTAGAGAAAATACTTTTATCATATATTGCATGCTCACAGTAAGCATAATATTTTATTCCTTATTGTTCAATAATTATAATTCTAATAAATCATTGACATATATAAATAAATGTATTTCTGTTTTAGATGAGCTCTAAACGCGAATGTTGACTGATCAATCATATATTTATCTTTAATATTCTTATACGAGTGCATTGACATAGACATCAAAATGCATAATTCTAGATATGCTGGTTATCACATTAACACAAATCGTGATTATATTACAGATGGTGAAGAGAGTCATAGAGCTCCTTCAGATCGCACCGTGTCTGAGTATATCGTTGCCAACGAACATACTACCATAGTAAGATATTTATAGCAAAAAATATTTTTCTCAATTTAAAACATATTACATATTTGTGATCCTAATAAATACATCATATATTATCTCTATAATTTCAATTTTTTTCAGGTAAAACCAATAAAAAAAAATCACGCAGACAAATATGATAGAGAAGACAGAAGATCCAGAAGCGCGCACAATACTCGCGATTCAGTATTGTCTGGATCTTCGAAACATAGTTTACATCAGCTTAGCAAAAGTGCCTCACACGGCAGCATTTGTGACAATGGTTCAGATATATATGTCACCAGTGCTGCATATAGAGCCACTTCCGACATAAGGTTGTTCTCCAATTTGAATATATGATATATTAAATAATATAAACAATGTAAAAATGTACCTTGTTATATGCAGTCGGATATCACGCCATAGTTTAGCACCAAGCTCCAGATTGGATCACAGAGCGCCTAGTCACTACAGCTATGGTTCCGGCAGATCAGGCACTTCGACAGTGAAAACTCGTACATCACGGAAAGGTGGTATAGTTGTGGAAACTATGTCGACACCCAATCCTTTCTGCCCAAACACCAAAGGTGTTTGTTGCCTTATGTTACTTCTTAATCTCGGCTTGATCCTGGTTACTCTGGGCTTTGTCATTGTCATACAATTCTTCCAACCATTAGTTGTTGGTAAGAGTACTGTTTTATATTTCACATGATTTATATGTAAGATTCTATATTAAAATTAATAAATATAATTATTTTAATTAAATAAAAACCGTTTTATATTTTGTTTTATATTTCAAATAACTATATTATTAATCAAATAGAAGAATGTAGAAAATTATATATAATGAAGTTGAGCAGTTTGTATATATGTCATGTGTGTGTCTGTTTTATATATATGTACATAGAATTTTTATAACACAATGTAATATTCCTTTTTAGGATCTTAGGAATAGTATTTCTGGTGTTTGGATTTTAACACTGATTGGCAGTCTTGTGTATTGTGTACATGTATTCAAAAATGCTAAACACCCACATGATATCAATCCTGAAGATCTATATTGGACCCATTACTGGCAAGGTCGTGTTGGTTCTACAGCACCAGAAGTTTATTATAAAGCAGAAGACAAATATCAGGATGATGGCTATAGTGACCGATATAGCAAATATTCAGGAAAGTATTATGGCAGACAAAATCAAAGATATTGATTATAAAATATAAAGAATGCTATTAACTGAAGTAAAATTCACTCACTCTGCCTCTTTTTTAATTCTATAAAGTATTTTGGATACCAATGATAAATAAAAAAACTAATCTCGGTGCAATAAAATATTACTTATAATTTGTATATATAGACATTGTACTAACATCTTTTTCCTCTTTTGGAAAAATACAAATTGTAAATTTACTTCTTTTGTATCAATAAATAATCTGTAAAAAAAGTAATTTTTTCAAGATAACCTTCTTAATATTAGTATGTCTTAATTTAACATATCGATACATTTACATCTATACAAACTAATTGATTATTTATAGTATATTAAAGTATATATATTTACATTTGTATACATATTTACATATACATTTTTACACATTTTATATATCATCATATGTATGTGTGTACTTGTATACACGATCATACTCTATTAATTATAACTATTATTTAAAATAACGATTTTAACATAACAAAAACGTATTTGTTAAAATATTCTAATTTGCTGTTGTATAATCAAAAGAGTCGGATTTACAAATGTGCCACTTTTATCAATCAAGTAATAAAAAGATTTGTTTTTTACTTTAAGTGGTATACATACTCCAGTAACTCCTGTTCGAGGTGAAGTACATTTTGCCTTAAAAAAATAAAATAAAAATATTTTGTTTTTTATCTTTATATTGCTGACCTTATAATATATTATCATAATTTATCTCAAAAATTAATATAGTATATCTATAATTTTAAATAATGCAATTTATTCTTACCATTCCTATTGGTACAGTTATTGTGTTGAGTTTTCTTTTGCATAAATGATAAGTAAAAAGTGAAAGTGTTTTGCCCCACCTATTTAAGATAATGTACTTGATGTTACGAGAACATGTAGCATACATAACACCAAATGTGATAGGACCTATAAAACAAATACATCATTCTAGAAAAGATAGAGTAAAAACTTATCTACTTATTTTATAAAAATATATACAACAAAAAACTGCATTAAAATAAGATATTGCTATTTTTTAAATCTTTTTAAATTATATGTTTCCATATAAAAGTAAATTTTTACTGTAAAAAAAGTAAAAAATGTCTTACCTGCAAAAATTGAGAAAACAAATGTACCAAACCGTATGAAATGTTTCTGTAGAAACTCCTTAATTTTTACATCAGTTTTAAATATATCAAAGAACTTTGGTGTATAAGTATATAGAGCCAATATTGACCAACCAAATAACTGCCCAAATGCAAAAAGTCGTATATTCCAAAAATGTCTATTACTTTCATTTTTATATAAAAGTACATTATTCCGTACATTTGTATTCACATCCAATATGGTTTTTATTTCTTGTTGATGTCGTACTATCAGACTTTGTGGCGATTTGTTAGGTTTAAGAAAACTTACTGGCTGCCTTAATCCATCAAATGATCTGTGTATTTTATAACTTATTGTTATTTTATAAGATAGTAAAATTGCTATTTTGTTCAAACTTTATTTTAAATATACAAGATATTTTTTGAAATTATTGCTACTTGCTATCTATACACATATAATTAATTTTATAACAATTAAATCATTTTATCTATTATATATATATATAAAGATAGATAAAATATTCAGCATTTTTTTGTAATGTGATTTATTCCATTTGTAAAGAAGTAACATTAGTCCAAGAACATCCTGTATATTTACATAAATATTAATTTTATGGTACAGTTTTTAATATAAGAACGATGACTAAAATATCAAATGTATATTATTCTCATAAAAATATACTTTAACATTGAAATATTTCACTATATTTTACCTTATGCTTTGTGTTAGAAATGTTCTAACAGTTGATGCAGATAAAAATATATTTTTATCATATATAAAACACTATGGATCATCCCACAAGTAGATTGTGCTTCAGTTAATAAAGCTTTAAAATGATGGGATGCTTTAAAACTAAACCAAACATTTTGAATTATTTACTTTTCTGTATTGTTACAAAAAACTAATCGAAAAATTTTCAATAGATAAATGCTTATATTCCTTCAGCATCTCATTTACTGTAAATAAAAATACTTTTGTTATTTTTCAATGTTTTTATCATAATATATAATTTCTTGGTAAATTTGCATAATATTTGAACTGTACATATAATCTCTTTAGAAATACACTTCATACAATTATGAATCCTATTATCAATTCTATTATCATCTTTATACATTTCTATATTCTATTTACATAATCTTGTATAAAATCATAACAACATTTTACCCAGTTATTCTTGTAATGTGCATGATATCATATTTTCATTATTATAAATATCAAATTCAATAACAAAATATAGAAATAATATTTGGAATCACAGAGCAAACTTGAATAATTTATATAAAATTAAACTTGTTTTTTTTAAGAGTTTCTCGTACGAAAAATTAAACTTGTTTTTAAACTAGGTTAGAGAGAGCATGGCAAAAGATAACCACCAGATAAATACAAAACCACGGATTTACATTGGACTACATTCGATCAAATCTAGGAACATTTGAGGGCAACACTGAAGTATCAGCCATATTGTTACTAAATCACCAATCACGTTGCTCATTCGTATCCTAATAACAAAGATGGCAAAACCAATTAGATTTCGTCCTTCCTTCATTCTTTGTGACAAAAAAAATCATATATGTGTGTACATTACATTCATATTCATTCATTACAAAATGCTTTCTATTTCCAGATGAGATTTTTTTATTCAGTGTGTGATAAATCGTGTTCTTGAAGAGTTTAAAGAAGGTATTTCTGGATCAAATAAATAATGTCTGTATGGCCTGGATATTATAAATTGCATCTGACAGAGTTTGACACGGATGTCAGATACAGTTACGAAGTAAATATATTATTATTATTATTATTGAATCGCGATAACAATCTAATTTTGCGATCTTCGATCGCGATAAACAAATACCTAGACGCGATGCATCGGAATAAGTGCAGGCATCGATGATATATAATCTGTACGAACACGTGCCGAATGTGTTTTTTCGGAATGCTATACACATTTTACATATGCATACATATATCGTGGTGTTACGTGGTGCTATGCTCCGTCACAGATTAATAGACAGATCGCCAAAGGCCTGCCTAAAGAAGAGACCGCCATCTTCGTGCGATAGACTTTGCCCCTTACCGACACACTTGCCCCTGGTTCGAGTCCGTGCTAAATTTCGTAGACTTGAACCAAAAGACTTTGCCCCTGGTTCGAGTCCGTGCTAAATTCGTAGATTCGACCAAAAAGACTTTGCCCCTGGTGCAAGTCCAGGCTAAATTCGTTTGACATTACCAACAGACTTTGCCCTGGTGCGAATCCAGGTAATTGATCATGAGACCAATTTGAGAGATTTGGCCCCGTTGTGTGTGTTGTGTGTGTGTGTGTGTGAGAGAGAGAGAGAGAGAGAGAGGAGAGAGAGAGGAGAGAGAGAGAGAGAGAGAGAGAGAGAGAATATTTTACATATATGCATATATATATATATAAAATTATATTAAATATAAAAAATAATTTTTTACACATAAAATGTTTTTTATTGAAATAATCACGATTTTAAATGTGATATAACACAGTGTTCAAAAATTTTTAATTAAATTTTTTAATTAAATTTTATTAAAGAAAATTACTTGAAATTTTTTACATTAAGAATTTAAAGGCTCCTTATTCTCTTGTAGAAATTTATCACTACGCCAATTAATCACTTATTTTGAGTATTAAAATACTATAATATACAGTATTTAAGTATTCGAAATAAAAGTGATTAATTACTCGAAATAAGTAATAAATTGGCGTTACTAGTAATAAATTTCTATAAGGTTGAAATAAAGTATAGAGATAAATAGGCTATATGTGAGCCGTATGCGAAATGTGAGATGTAAGACGCATATTAAAATTTAATTTTTCGATATAACTTTCAAAAATGTACACGAGGTACAAAAAATTAGCTTGGACATTTGTAAGACTTAAATTGGGATTAATTCTCAATTCTATTAATTAAATTTCGATATAACACACCTTACATCCGCGCACGGCTCACATATATATAACCATTTATTAGTGCAATTTTTAAGGTTCTTATTTTTCAAGTTCACCTTTTTACGTTATCAAATATTTTTACGTTTTCAAGAATTTTATATTTTTACTTACCGCAGTTTCTTATCCAAATGTAAAATCTTTTATCGCAGTCTATAAAAAATTGAAACAATTTACAATTTTATGATATAATATTATTATTATTACAATTTCTATATATATGCACATCTGTCAAATATCGTGATTTATTTCACATTATTATTATCTATTTTAATAAAAAAGAAAACAAAAAACACTTGCAACAATCAAAAATAAACCGCCTGCCGCGAACGGAAAATGCAAGAAAGCACGCAATTTCCGCGAATCTCGTAATTTTTTTGAAAAAATCAACAATTTCAACGAAATTGTAAATTCTTCAAATCACTGCACAAGTATAATTCACAATAATAATTTTCAGTAACTACGATAAAAAATCGTATACTGAAAACCGCAAACGAAAGTGCAATGGGAGTAAGAGTAAAGTCTGTGATACAATTAATTGGCAATAGAAATTAATAATTTTCAAATAGAAAAATTTTGAAATTACCGAGGATTTACAAATAATAAAGTAAAAATATTAAATAATTTATGTGACTTGTATAGTGAACACATCAACTTGGCGGAATCTTGACTACTCATCAATTTAAGTAAGCAATTCTAAACACAATTAAGATCTTTCACATAAAAAAATAACTTATTAATATAAATTAATATACCAAAAAATAAAAATATACTTAGACAATCACGGGTGAAATATACTGCAATGACGAACTTACTCGGAAATATCCTTGATGATGGGGACTAACTTTTTGATGCTGGATAACATCTAATTGTTTTCAATTCTCATATCAAGCGGTTCTGACGATAATTTTAACTAATAATGTTCAAAAGAATGATGACGTGGAATGGGCCGTCAACCTGTTCTACTAACAACAGGGAACTCGTTTACATGTTTTTGACATAATCAAAAGTTTACCATCTAACTAAAAAATGGTTAGCCGATTAGAAAAAATATCTATTTA